ATAAAAACCTAATTTTTCTGTATTAATTACAGCAGGAAATGCATAAAAACTCCACTTTCCTGCTTTAATTATGTTGGAAAACAAAAAAAACTCAAACTTTCTGCTTTAATTATATTAGAAAATACAAAAAAACTCAAACTTACTGCTTTAATTACAGCAGAAAACACACAATACTAAATCTTTCTGCTTCAATTATATTAGAAAACAAAACAAAAATTTTTTGTCTGCTTTAATTAAATCAAAAACAAAAAACACCAGACAGTAGAAAACGGGTCAATTTTCCTGCTTTTTTCCAGCAGAAAACACAGAAAACTCCAGTTTACTTTTTTTTTTAATCAGGAAAAACACAAAACTTAACTTCCTTGCTTTCTTTCCAGTAAAAAACTCACTTTCCTGTGTTGTTTTTTTTTACAGTAAAAAACAATCAAAATCCACCTCCACTGGATTCTCCTGTTAACTTCACCCCTCCCCTCACCTCCTCCGTCGTGCCCTCCTTCTCCTCTTCCTCAGCAGCCTCCTCCTCTTCCTCCTCGTTGCTTTTCTCTGCAGCTGGAAGGAAAAAAGAAAAGTCAGTCTGGATCTCCCCCCTCTTTCTCCATCTCTCCCTCCCCCTGTCTCTCTCTCCCTCCCTCATCCCCTCCATCTCTCTCTCTGTTTATCCATCTCCCTCTCTTTCTCCCTCTTTCCATCTCTCCCTCCTTTTCTCTCTCTGCCCTTCTCTCTTGCCCCCCATTCCCCCTTCTCTCCCTCTCCCTCAGGTTCCCCTCTCTGCCTCCCTCCATCTCTCCCTACATCCCTCTCTCTCCCTAAAGCCAGTTGTTCCCTTCCTCCCTCTCTCTCCCTCCCTCCCTCCATCCATCTCCCCTCCATCTCTGCCTCTCTCTCTCTCCCCCTCCCTCCATCCATCTCTCCCCCCTCCCCCTCAGGTTTCTCCCCCTAAAGTCAGTTGTTCCCTCTCCCTCTCTCCATCTATGTCTCCCCCTCCCTCTCTCCCCCCTCAGGTTTCTCTCTTACTAAAGCCAGTTGTTCCCTCCCTGCCTCTCTCTCTCTCTCTCTCTCACCCTCCCTTCATCTCTCCCTACATCCCTCTCCCCCCTAAAGCCAGTTGTTCCCTTCCCTTCTCTCCCTCTCTCTCCATCCGGTTTCTCCCCCCTAGAGCTGGTTGTTTCATCCCTCCATCTCCTGGTGGACTCCTCCTCCCCTAAATAACTCCCCCTCCCTCCCTCTGATTCCTGCTGTTTGAGCCACATAAATAAACCAAACGGAGTTAAAGGGGAGCTCACATTCAGCTGGACTCTTCTCCTCCTTCTCCTCTTCCTCTCCTTCCTTCTCTTCCTCCTTCTCCTCCTCCTCCTCCTTCACGTCCGGCTGAGGCTCGTCCGTCTTCTTGTACTGCGCCGCCGGCGTGCTCGTCTTCTTCTGCAGAAAAAACTCCAAATTTAGCCAAAAAGCTTCTCCGGAAAAGACCGAAAACAGCCGATTCCTCCAGTTGGAGTTCTGGCTCTGTCCACCAGGGGGCGCCTCTTTACACAAATACAGCACAAACAGCTTCCAAACAGTCATAGAAAGAAATGCATAAAATATTCAAATAAAATAAAAATAACTAAGGCAAGTTAGTTTGTTACATCAAAATCATAGAAAAAAA